TACATTGTGTATAACAGTTTTAACATTCATGTTGCAGTGCAGTATAAGAATTGGGAAAAGAGGAAATCCAAAATTAATTCAATGTATTACATGTATTATAGTATTATTTTGTTATTACAGGAAGGAGATACTGCTCTTATTGTATCAGCAAGAGGAGGAGACTATGAGACTGTAAAAGTACTGCTGGATAATGGAGCTGATCCAAACATACGCATGGACCCAGGCTATATAGTATATACACTGTGTACATGAACCTCATAACGTATAGCAAAAAATTATTGTGGCCCAAAAATTTCGCGGATCCGTTCAAAAATCAATTTTGTGACTTCAATTTTTGTGTTTTCTACTTTTTGGCTATCTTGAACCATATTGAATCAATTTTCGCAGATTTTATATTCAAGGATTTTGAAAAAACGCGAAATCCACGAGAATTTCGGGCCATGATAATTTTTCGCTATACGGTAGTATAATTTACATGTATACTGACAATGTGTACTGCATGTTCATTAATACATGTACATGTACATTGTATTAGCAGCAAGTATGAAAACGATGGATAAAATTTAAATGGCAAATATTGTATTATTTTGCAAATGACACCCACCAATGAACAATGCAGCTTTTGTGACTCAGTTTAGCAGTCCTTACTTGATTAATTCAACTTTTTCATTTCTACACTTGTGCTTGTAGTTGTAGCCACTTACAAATAGGCTTGTGTGCTATGTTTGTGTTTTATAATGTTCAGTTCATATCCATTAACATTTTGTTAACATGTTAAACTACACCCATTGTTATTAATAGCAAATTATTCATTTTTATCATTTAAATTATATTAGGATTATGGTACTACAGCACTGATGGCAGCAGTAAACAACAAACATCATCATGTAGTGGAACTTTTATTAACCAAAGGAGCTGATCCAAACAGAATGGATAATGTAAGTATGATTACTGTATGTACAAAATACATACATACATACATTGTACATTTATACATACATGATGTAAGATTCACTGTCAGTTAATAACAGCATTGTACATGGGGCTTGAAATAGAATTGAAGCCTAATATCCAATAAGCAATGCTTGGCTCTATTTGTGGCTACTTTGATCTTGTAATCAACTTGTAGATTTCTATTTTTAGATTACAAGATCAAAGTACATGTAATTACAATTGTTGCTAGTGTCTAGTGTATGAAGGGCTTAACTTGTACTGTATACATGTACATGTACATGTAGCTGGTAATTTTAGAGGGAGCTATATGTGATAAATTGCTAATTTTTTGTTATCGACAATTTTTAATTATGTGAATTTTTGATACAAAATGATGCATTTTGATTTTGGCAAATGGCTGACATTAAAATTTTAAATTTGCTAAATTTATGTCCTTCCAAAATTACCAGCTACAGTTGTATTGGCATGTAGTGTAGTTATGATGCAGTATGCTATTCAAGTACATGTATAATTTACTTTGTTATTACAGAAAGGAGATATTGCTCTTATTGTATTAGCAAGAAGAGGAGACCATGAGACTGTAAAAGTACTGCTGGATAATGGAGCTGATCCAAACATAGGCCAAGAATGGGATGATGTTAGTACATAATATCATTGACTTGTACATTAGAATTGCAGCAAGCATGATAAGGAATTTATTACATGG